CGATCTCCCCAAAACCCCAAAACCCCAAAACCACAATGCAGAGAAATTCTATAGAAATGCAAAATTAAAAATTATCTTTATTAAAAATTCATAATTGTTTAAAAGTGCAATATTTTTAATTAATTCAAATATGAAAACAAAGCTGTTGATAAGATTTTTACTATTTATTGTCTACTTCTAAATTCAATTCACTATGGCAAAGATAAAAAGTTGCAAAGTAAATCTAAGTCGAACTAACTTTGCTTACTGTTCTAAATTTTCCTCAGGTGGATTCTAGAGTGTCGAAGTTAAATCTAAAGCTAAGTTTACCTAAATTTATTCTAAAAAAGGGGAAAATGAATTTGCTAATTTGTAGATAGGAATCATTCCTTTTAATTTGTTTACCGAAATAATGAGTGATAAGTATTCAGACATATGTGAAAGAGTAGTTGAGCTAGAGGGCTACTAAACTAACTTTATTTAGACATACTACAGTGATTCAGAGTGGAGTTAAATAGAAAGAAATGTGATCTAAAATAAGCAATCAATCGCATAATATTACTTTATAATTGTATTTGATTGCCAGAAACAGATTGTTAGAGATATGCCATTAATAGACTTTAAACTATAAATGAGTACCTATAACCATGCTGGAGATATAAATCATTTTTTGTACGAAGATCGAGGACTATATGTGATCTACTTAGCTTCTATGATTTTAACCACTTATATATTCTTAAAGACTTTGCTTTAATTTATCAGGACATTCCAGTAGTTTGACATATTTTAAAGTCCCAATTTTACAGTTACACTATGCATAGGAACTTAAATGGTGGGTAGTATTATAGATTTTACGATTATCAGAGATTATTTTGACAATGATGAGAGGATACTTGAATATAATGCGGTTACCAACTTACTATTTATGATATCAAATGGAGTTTTATTGTTAATAATGATTTTTGTAGCAGATGGATGGACCATTAAGTATCTTAATCTAAAAGATTATTTGCTAGGAAAATTTATTTTTCACATTGGACTGGTTATTATATATATTGTAGTTGTATAGCTAGCTATGATATTCGAAGATCAAGACCATTATGACAATTTCTATGAATTTTCTGGGTTAAAATGTTCGGTGATCATTATTACTGACTGCACATTAGCTTTTTCATTTAGCTAAATATCACCTAATGGGACAAGCCGAAGCAAAAAATCAGAGTAATTCATGAAAAAATTTACAATTTTTGGATTTTTGTATATGTTGCGATTGCCAATCATTCTGATCATTACTTTCTTGTCAAGTTATTGCAATTAAAAATTTGTATACAGTTTGCTAAATATGTTAACCTAGAATTTGTATCTTTCGCTTTTGTATAATTAAATCAGCAATAGAGACTCCCTTTACATAAATGCATCTTTAAATAGAGCATCAATACTACCGAATGATAAAATTAATTGATTTATTTCTCCAAACCCTTAAATTATTACATAAATTGAGAATCGGGGTTTTGGGGTTTTGGGGTTTTGGGGTTTTGGGG